TAATTAGTTTGTTTCAAGCTAACGCCCTCTTGACTTTAGCCCTTTGTTTACTTTCCTCACTTCCTTCTCTTGTCTCGTGTGCTGAGCTAGACTGCCAATAACGGTGATTTCATTAACTGGCTCAGAAGGCACTGACACCGATTCAACATGCTGAATTGTCTGACAAGGGCTGACTTGTCTTTTTCTTACCTCTGTTTACTGTTCTTGAACTTAAAATAAATAGCCATCAATAGATAGAAACTGAACACTGAGACATGGAAAAACGAAACTCTGCTTCTGAAGTACAAAGTTTTTTATTCTTCGGATTTGCAGAGCAGCATAATACAGATCTGGAAGTGTGGATTGAGAGTGCAGACCAGGAACATTTCTCCTGGCATCCTTTTTAAAACTTTCAGGCTACACTCCTCCTGATTGGTTGGGATGCACCATGGTGCCAGGCTCCCCATTATACAGAGACTCTCTCTAATCTTCCTTCACTATTGAGCCTCCTACACTCTGGTATGCACAGGTCAAGATGATCTTCCTCCTTTGTATCCTAACTTTCTGATCCTCTGAGCTTCATTTTTTCTGTGATTGAAATGAACACAAATAAGTTATACATGTAATATATATAGGTTTTGTATTGATCATCTAAATAACCCAATTCCCTTTTTTAAAAAAACAAACAAAAAACAGATCACCCTGTTAAAGCAATTTTCCCTCCATGCGCCCTCCCAGCCCAGTCACCAGAAGAAGATGTTGGCATTGTACATTTCTGCAAACCACAGATACATTGTAAAGTGACATAATATTCAGGCATGACGCCTGCCAAGCCACAAACCACCATTCAAGACCAACAAACAAACAATGCATTTTCAGCTCCTTTTTAGCCACCAAACCTGGTTGTTTTTTAAAGATCCGTTGCTGTGTTTCCACCGGGGAAGGTGACATGGGAAGTGGCTGTTTTTTACATAGACACTGAGGTGTTTCCAGCCGGGATAGTGCCACAAAAAGCCATGGGTTGTTTTTTTTTTTTACCAATTGGTCCCTGCTTTTCCAGCGGTCTTTGTGCCAACCAATGTGGGTATTTTAAGCCAAACATATGGTCTTTACCAACCATAACTGAGTGTTATTTATGTCTAAACCTAACCACACATTAACCAGCATTGCTGAAACATAGTTTCTCTGTATCTGCTACATAAAAATGTACAAATGTCAAGTATTCGTGGTATGACACCATCATTTATTCTAGGAATTGGGTTGCAGCCACCCCTCACATCACATGTCACATTTGACATTTATAAACTAATATCATTATTATTTCACACACAGGAAGGAGCATTTTACTGTTACCAAGGCGCCTGTGCAAAAAGTTAAGAAAGTGCCCCAAAAAGATATGTTTGTTCCTCTGAAAGCATGAGCAGTTTTTTTTGTTGTTGTTTTTTTTTACCTAGAATTCCATTCTCTGTGGCCTTAATCAAAATGCAATCATGAATCATTTTTCTTCATAACTCTTTATATAACAGAGCTGCTCTTGTGCTCAAGTTCAAGGTTGACTTTATTATCCAGAAAGGAAGTTCACTTTGTTGAGAGTGCCAAAACAGCCAACACAACAGAGGCCCTCCATAGAAACGGTACAGGAAGCTGCACATCATGTCTGGATGATGTGTCCTATACTCCTCTTCCTCCTTATGTCTGCTACATGTTACCCTAACAAAAAACACAACAAAACAAAACACAACAAAAACAAGAAAACAAGTCTTAAACCTTAGATTTGATCGTTTACTTTTGGTTTAAATAGGAGGTTACAGATGTGAAATAAATGCCACACTGTGGAGCGCTATGTGTCCATGTACAAATACAAATGCAGTTTGGTACATTACATTTTTCCAGCTTTTAAAATGTGTGCAGTCCAGCCAAAGGAAGCGGAAAACAGGAAGAGAAATGAGAATTGTTGTTGCCATCTCTAGGGGACCGTAACATGTTGTGCCAGCCAGGCCTCTTCCTGCGGAGCCTCAAACATTTCATGTAACAGAGACACAAACATATCTTTTTATTACTGGGTTTTTATTCCTATCTGGTATAACGTGATGTTACTGCAGGACGTACGTTATAACAGACCACCAGATGAACTGCCATTGAATATCCAAATATAAATTGAGAATATGTAGAATTTGTGAAATAAATTCCTCATATTTTGTATGATTTCCAACTGATGTAAAGTCAACCAGGCGATGTCAGAGGATTGCTCAGTGGGTGAATGACTTCTAATGTACAGTAAAATAATTTGCACAAATGCTTTGAGTCAGAAATCACACTCCTTCTCAAAGTCATGACTCAGTCAATTCTAAACACAGACATGAAACACATATTGACATCATTCAGTGTGACTTACAGTTCTTGAGTATTTCATCATCTCTGATGTCTATCGGGAATCCATAAATACACTCATAAATCATAGACGAAAGATGCCTCACAGGAGCCGGTAATATCTAGTTCGACGTACTTTTAAACAAGTATAGGTTAAAAAAACTGGGCTCAAAAGAGAATAGCAGTGCCGAGGCCTTCCTGTAGCTGACATTACAACAGCAACATATCTGTCCATCTCCGTTCATTCATATCTGCTGATGAATCACACATTCCACCTGTCAACAAATCACTTTAGACATAATGAGGAAGTCCATTGACAAAACGTGATGTCATCCCAAGTGACAACTGTGTCAAACCTGCCGCTTCTTTCAGCTCAGGAATTCCCTTTGTTTTAAGGATCCTCAGGTGTGATTTAGCACTCCTGGTAGTGACATAAGATCGTCATCAGCTTTATTTAAGTGGCCACAGAGTTCTTTTAAAATGTGCTGTGTCATAACTGGAAGGACGACATTGTTCTGATTTAATTGGGAATCACTTTGCGCAGGTGTGACCTGAAGTGCAGCATACTAAAAATGACAATGACACCCTAAACATGAACCCAACAGAGGAAGATAACACTGCAGGGTACATGAGGAAACTTTTTGAAGGCAATCAGACACAAGCACACTGTTTTATTCCACTTCAAACGCTGTGTCAAGTTTTTCAGGGTGACTCTGGTTTGACACTTTAGAGTTTGAGGAAACACTGCCATCTTATGGATAAATGATGTGAAACCTGTTTTGTCTTTTAAATATACAGTACAGGCCAAAAGTTTGGACACACCTTCTCATTCAATGCGTTTTCTTTATTTTCATGACTATTTACATTGTAGATTCTCACTGAAGGCATCAAAACTATGAATGAACACATGTGGAGTTATGTACTTAACAAAAAAAGGTGAAATAACTGAAAACATGTTTTATATTCTAGTTTCTTCAAAATAGCCACCCTTTGCTCTGATTACTGCTTTGCACACTCTTGGCATTCTCTCCATGAGCTTCAAGAGGTAGTCACCTGAAAAGGTTTACACTTCACAGGTGTGCCTTATCAGGGTTAATTAGTGGAATTTCTTGCTTTATCAATGGGGTTGGGACCATCAGTTGTGTTGTGCAGAAGTCAGGTTAATACACAGCCGACAGCCCTATTGGACAACTGTTAAAATTCATATTATGGCAAGAACCAATCAGCTAACTAAAGAAAAACAAGTGGCCATCATTACTTTAAGAAATGAAGGTCAGTCAGTCCGGAAAATTGCAAAAACTTTAAATGTGTCCCCAAGTGGAGTCGCAAAAACCATCAAGAGCTACAACGAAACTGGCACACATGAGGACCGACCCAGGAAAGGAAGACCAAGAGTCACCTCTGCTTCTGAGGATAAGTTCATCCGAGTCACCAGCCTCAGAAATCGCAAGTTAACAGCAGCTCAGATCAGAGACCAGATGAATGCCACACAGAGTTCTAGCAGCAGACCCATCTCTAGAACAACTGTTAAGAGGAGACTGCGCCAATCAGGCCTTCATGGTCAAATGCAGGAAACCACTGCTAAGGAGAGGCAACAAGCAGAAGAGATTTGTTTGGGCCAAGAAACACAAGGAATGGACATTAGACCAGTGGAAATCTGTGCTTTGGTCTGATGAGTCCAAATTTGAGATCTTTGGTTCCAACCGCCGTGTCTTTGTGAGACGCAGAAAAGGTGAACGGATGGATTCCACATGCCTGGTTCCCACTGTGAAGCATGGAGGAGGAGGTGTGATGGTGTGGGGGTGTTTTGATGGTGACACTGTTGGGGATTTATTCAAAATTGAAGGCACACTGAACCAGCATGGCTACCACAGCATCCTGCAGCGACATGCCATCCCATCCGGTTTGCGTTTAGTTGGACGATCATTTATTTTTCAACAGGACAATGACCCCAAACACACCTCCAGGCTGTGTAAGGGCTATTTGACCAAGAAGGAGAGTGATGGAGTGCTGCGGCAGATGACCTGGCCTCCACAGTCACCGGACCTGAACCCAATCAAGATGGTTTGGGGTGAGCTGGACCGCAGAGTGAAGGCAAAGGGGCCAACAAGTGCTAAACACCTCTGGGAACTCCTTCAAGACTGTTGGAAAACCATTTCAGGTGACTACCTCTTGAAGCTCATGGAGAGAATGCCAAGAGTGTGCAAAGCAGTAATCAGAGCAAAGGGTGGCTATTTTGAAGAAACTAGAATATAAAACATGTTTTCAGTTATTTCACCTTTTTTTGTTAAGTACATAACTCCACATGTGTTCATTCATAGTTTTGATGCCTTCAGTGAGAATCTACAATGTAAATAGTCATGAAAATAAAGAAAACGCATTGAATGAGAAGGTGTGTCCAAACTTTTGGCCTGTACTGTATATACTGCACTGCATCCACATTTTGTAATGTCTTATTTAATGTTTGTAATTTTTTATTTGTTCTTATTTATCTGTATTTATGTGAAACAATCTACCTCCTGAGACACAAGACAAATGTCAGATTTTTTTTCTGACAATAAAGCAATATCAAATAAAATAAAATCAAACACATTCATGTCAGAAAAGTCCATTTTATACATTACAATGTTTGCTTTTCTCTCTCTCTGCAGGTGCAGGGCTACCTGGATCAATTCCATCTGTCTATGGAGAAGCTGCAGGAGGTTTCCGCTCGCCTGAGGAAAGATCTGATTCGAGGGTTGGGGAAACACACTCACCACAGGGCGGCTGTCAAGATGCTGCCCACCTTTGTCAGAGCCATTCCAGATGGGACAGGTAAGTTTATATTACTGATCATATTTTATCAATCATTTAATGTAACGTAACTTTGTGAAAATTTGCACATTCACTCCTCTTTGTTTTAAAACACTGTGCAGCTTTGTCTTTTCTTTTTTAGAGATTTTACATTTTTATTTGTAGATTTATATTTTATATTTAGCATTAGCATTAGCATTTCAACATTAGCAGACATACAGCCCACACACTCTGTGCCTGAAATGAACATCCGTCAAAGAGAAGACAGTAGAGCGCAATGGCTTTTTGTACTGAAGACACAAAAACATTATTGATTTGAAATTAGTGTTTTATAATTAGTATTTCTATTTTTCAACCACCGTAATACCCAGTTTTATTAGATTTATAACTGCAGAATAAAAGCACACACTACCTTTGCCTCTTGATCAATCAGTCCGTTGTTTCCTCTCTGGCAGAGAAAGGCGACTTCCTGGCGCTGGATCTCGGTGGAACAAACTTCCGGGTGCTTCACGTCCGTGTGATGGAGGAGGAGCAGAAAGTGCTGAAGATGGACAGTCAGATCTGTGCCATCCCGAAGGAAATGATGATGGGAACTGGAGAACAGGTGACTCAGGCAAACAGTATTTAAGAAAACAGAAATAAATGCATGTGGGCGTCACATATACATAGAATATTAAAGTGAGTGTAATCTCGGACACCCCTGTCCTCATGAAACATTTGTAAAGCCAATTCTTTAAAAGTATTTTACATCCTGGTTTGTTTGCATCTGTGTTTACTCTAAACAAACAAAGAAAAGTCCACACACTTCAGCTCCCTTTTTAGGTCCATTTATTCCATCATCATCATGGAGTGATGTTTCGGGCCACAGGTGCCCTTCTTCAGACTGAAAAATACAGCTGAGGACGCCATTTTTAAACCTCCACACAGGAACCTGTGTGGAGCTTTAAAAATGGCGTCCTCAGCTGTATTGTTTGCATCCTGTTTTGTTTGCATCCGTGTTTACTCTAAACAAACAAAGAAAAGTCCGCATACTTCAGCCCCCCTTTTAGGTCCATTTATTCCATCATCATGGAGTATTTTTCAGTCTGAAGAAGGGCACCTGTGGCCCGAAACATCACTCCATGATGATGGAATAAATGGACCTAAAAAGGGAGCTGAAGTGTGCGGACCTTTCTTTGTTTGTTTAGTTTAATTCTTTTAGTCCAGCACCTTCTTCATTTTTTGGATGTGCGCGACTGCTCTTTTTATATTCATCCGTGTTTACTCACCACCAGTCTTCTTCCTCCCCGCCTTTGTTGGCACATTGCTGCAAATCTCAGTGTGTTACCATCACCTGTAGATACGTGGAATAGTGTGAAACCATTAGCAGGTATCACATCACAAGATAAACAAAACAGGAACCCGCTCACAGAAAATCAGCTCCATAAACCTGTTAGAGGTCTAACACTGCCTGGGGAGCCTTCACATCTTTTTGTGTATGTTTTTAAACAGTGTAACAACAGAGAGTGCACTAGTGTTCCAGGAAACATCACCTTACCTGTGTTTAGTATGAGACTATGTTATCTCAGTTATTGAGTGTTTAACATCCTCACGGCAGCTTGAGTGCAAAGAGCAAAAACAAGCTCTTCAAGATTGTCAACATTGCAGAGAAGGTGACTGGCGAGTCACAGACACAACTCAGCAATATGTCTGACACTATATATAGAATTTTCTAAACATATACGTATGTACTGTAAGTATATGCCTTAGATCCATTACACTCAGTTTGAGCTGTATCAGGGAACACTGCTGTGTTTATAAGATGACCCTTCTTTTACTATATATGTGACTTATTGATCCTATTTGCACTATTGTATCATATATACTGTTAAATGTACGTTTTTAATGGTGCATTGTGTCATGTGTCTGTATGTACCTCTGACGTTTTGAGAGAAGGCAAATACAGGCAAATATAAATATCTGATCCAACTCGATCAGATAGAAGAGGAAGAAGATATACTTAATTAATCCCAGAGGATGTTGTCATATACACACAGGCCCGAAATACACACACATGCACAAACAGGAACTATACATGCATTAAATGGAGAGATGTCAGAGTGAGGGGGCTTGGCAGTGCTCGGAAGCAAACTGGCACCTTTCCAGCTACAGGGCCACGCTCCATACTTGGGCCAGACAGGGACTTGAAGGAGCTAACTAGATAGCCAACATCAAAAGCCTTGGGTCTAGAAAGATATCCTTACTATCCATGTATGTATATTTTTTAAGATGTTTAAGATATTTGAGTTAAAGATGTGTCTGTCTATTTGTCTCTCCAGCTGTTCGACCACATCGCCGCCTGTCTTGGTGATTTTCTCGTCTCTCAGAATCTGAAGGGACTAACTCTTCCTCTGGGCTTCACCTTCTCCTTCCCCTGCGAACAGAAAGAAATTGACAAGGTCTCACACACACACACACTACATGTTTCAGTCGGGGTAAGGGTTAACCAAACCTCACAGAAAAAAATTGTTCAGAAAGATTTAGGATGAAAAAGTTCTTGCATGACGCTCAGTGTGAACTTTTAGCGATTTTTAAAAGAAACCCATTTTCACATCAAATGTTCTCCACACAGAGCATCCTGATCCGCTGGACTAAAGGCTTCAACTGCTCCGGAGTGGAGGGCGAAGACGTGGTGAAGTTACTGAAAGACGCCATCCACAGGAGAGGGGTCAGTCTAAAATACTTTTATGATGATTTAAAAGAAAAAGAGATGTGAAGCAACATGAGGGGTGCAGGAGTGAAATGTCATGATGAGAGCTGCAACAATAAGTCAAGTAATCAGAAAATTAATTTGCAGTTATTTTGATAATGTATTAATTGTCATTTTTCAAACTTTATGTTGTCTGGTTTCAGCTTCTCAAATGTGAACATTTGATGCTACTAATGCTACTAATACTTGATGCTAAGTACTGTACTTAAGTACAATTTGTATGGGGTCAGATCAGTCTCATAATGAATGAACTCACGTAGGGTTTTTCACGAATACACATGCTCTGGTTTGCAGTTGTATTTCGGACTCACTAATGCACACCCTCTGTTTTGCAAATGCACACGCTCTGGTTCACAAATAAAAAAAATTCATGCAAACGTGTAATATAAATTCGGAAATGCACACGCTCTGCTTCACAAATACTATTTTGAGGAACACTTGGAATATAAATTCACAGATCATGCGAATCGCTGAACGTGCATTTACAAACTGCCTCTCATTTGTGAACCTCTCTGCATTTGTGAGAGAAATCTGTGTGGTGAATTTTGAGACTACCCTGACGTCGCAGGTCAACGAACGTCACCATTGGCTGATAAATCTGTCAATCAAATTTCTACTTACAGGACATATGGACGCACACATCCCTCTTAAACTGAAAAACTAGAACCTGGAACACCAAAATATCGACTGACAACTCTCAAAAACACCTGTAGTCTTCTCTCCCGTTCTGCTGCTGGCAAACTGGCTTGAACTGGCTCCTGTAGCCAGTCAGAACAGCGCCAGTGCACCACCTAGTGGCCAAGATGAGTATCTCCCTTCTCAGCTACCAGGCAAAAGGCAGCCTTTTCAACAATTCTGATTGACAGATTCATCAGTTAATCAGGTGTGGTTGCTTTCAGCCAATCGTATGGCTCCTTACATAGGGTGTATTCATAGTTTATGTTCATTCAAACATGTTACTTGGCTAAGCAGAATGCTTCAACTCATTATAATTAAATAACATTGCATGATTTACAACGAGGGCATAATAAGATAAATGTGTTACTTACAGATTGAGATTGATCCATGTCTCTTCCACCGTTTGAACACTGCAAACAGTAGCTCAGTAGCTCTGCGAATGGTTTAAAAGTGTGGAGAAAATGTAAGGAGCCATACGATTGGCTGAAAGAGAACACCTGATTAACTGATGAACCTGTCAATCAGAATCATAAAATTGATTTTATCAGCCAATGGTGACGTTCGTTGACCTGCGACGTCAGGGTAGTCTCAAAATTCACCACACAGATTTCTCTCACAAATGCAGAGAGGTTCACAAATGAGAAGCAGTTTGTAAATGCACATTCAGCGATTCGCATGATCTGTGAATTTATATTCCAAGTGTTCCTCAAAATAATATTTGTGAAGCAGAGCATGTGCATTTCCGAATTTATATATCAAGTTTGCATTAAACATAATATTTGTGAACCAGAGCGTGTGCATTAGTGAGTCCGAAATGCAACTGAGAACCAGAGCATGTGCATTCATGAAAAACCCTGCGTGAGTTCATTCATTATGAGACTGATCTGACCCCATAATTTTGAGGTACTTATACTTTACTTGTGTCCTTTTTTTTTCATGCCCCTTTCTACATCCACTCCACTTCATCTCAAAGGGACAAATTGCACTCTTTTTACTAATTATGCGACAGCATTAATTACTTTACAAATTAAGATTTTATATTCGAAACATATGAAGAGCTTATGAATACATATGCTTTCTAAAGCTGAAATTTAAGTTATTTTTCAAGCTAAACATTGCCTTATTGCTCCTTCACAAATATGACAATTTGCTGCTTTTCCTTTATAATTATTTAAATAAATAAAATATATTTGTAATAATGTCGAGGTTTAGACTGTTAGTTGGATTAAACAAATATTGTGAGGGTGTTTCTTTGGGCTCTGGGTAATTGTGACAGCATTGCTCACTATTTTTAGAATTGTAGCACACCAAACGATCATTAATTAATGGATGAAACAATTAGTAGATTAATCCATAATGAAGCTAATTCCTTGTTGTTTGTTTGTTGTTTCTTTGCTCAGACTCTGATTAAAAGTAATGTGTAACTCTGCAGTTTCTCTTTGAGAGATGGATGTAGCACAGTGTATGTGTGTGTGTGTGTGTAGGCAGGTTATTTGGTATACAGATTATAAATAGGAAGCACATAAACACACCTGTCTATCGCTCTCTCTCTCTCGCTCTCTGCAGGACTATGATATAGGCTCAGTTGCCATGGTGAACGACACAGTGGGCACAATGATGAGCTGCGGCTACAGAGACCAGAACTGTGAGATCGGCATGATCATCGGTAACCATTTATTTTAATGAGTAAACAACTTAAGCATGTCCTCAGACAAACCTGACATGAATCTGTAGGAAAAGAAGAAGCAGTCAGATCTTTTACGTGAAGGTGGAGTCCGTGACTCTGGAGAACGATTGGTGATATTTATACTCAACACCCCAACAAATACACCCCTCCTGTCAGTGCTCATTCACCAGCTCCGTTTTAGCATCCCTCTCGCTCCCTGAAACTTTCTCTTTATACACCCATGGCCTTTCCTCTGTCCTGTGCACACGTGAAGCAGCATAGTGTTGTGTGGCTCACTCCGAGCCACCTATTTGTTTCCTATTTGCAAAGCCACAGCTGTATGAACACTGGATTTATTGTCAGTGTACACACAGAATGGACAGCTGGCAGATCATGAGGAGATATTTGCTGAATTTGACATAATGTGTATTGAATTAGAGTCACAGACTGCACCTTTAAGTAAAAGTAGCAAAACTACAGTGCAGAGGTACGATGTTAAAAGTAAAAGTTTTGCTTTTGAAATCTTCCTTCAGTCAAACTACATAAGAGTTACCATAAGAGTAGCAAAAGCAAAAGTGCACCTTAAACTGAATGTGACAAGATTTTTGTTTTGCTTCTTGATAACTAAAGTCATTGTCACTCCTGGGACACACTGCCTGCACGAGCAATTCATGAGCTTACGTTGCTGAACTGCTGCAGCTCGCATGTGCACGGTGTTCACACAGACAGCGTTGCTGCTGCGGCACTGCTGCAGAGCTGCCTGCAACTATGAGAACTGTATTTCCCAATTACAAATATGTCATAATAAAAAGCCTCGTATTAACAAATCAAGAGGATTCTACAGAAATTTGTCAGAGGGTTTTTATTTTGCAACAAAAATGAGAGGTGTTGAATTCATAAGTAAATATATTTTATCAAGCCTCCGACAGATAAACATTGAAACTATAGTGAAAGATGGTATTATGTCAGTATGATTATCAGAGGATCATTTTCACAAAAAAAGGCAAGACTCCTTTTCTCTAGATGTTCTGCAGCAGAGCACCAGCAACTCTGCTTACCTGGGCAGTGTGGCTGCTTTAACCTGTTAACATGGACGCTGAAAAAAAGTCAAAAGGGTTCTGTGACGCATACACCCTGCTTTCACAGACAGTGTGGCCCAGGCGTTACAGACAGCACTCACAAATTACAGGAGGGTTTTCTTTAATAGGCAAGGATCATTGGTGTAAAAAATATATGACTAGAAATTTAATAAGATTAACATCTGCATTATTGAAGCAATAGTTAACCCAAAAACTATGTAGTACTCACCTCCTGATAACCTTTATAAGGTCCCAGCAAACGTTTTCAATCATATGGCGTTAAAGAGAGCAGAGCGCCCAAGAACTGAACGCATATTTGTGCAAACAGACTTTGACAAAGGCCAAATAAAGGACAACCAAAAAGGTTGTAAGACATCTGAAAAACCTTCTGAATCCCAGTGTCTTGTATCCATTTGTGGGTTCATGGAAATCCAAACACATTATTTTCGCTAGACTTTAAGCCAAACAAGTTCCACAGAAAGATAATCTGAAAATGATGTGTTTAGCAATACTTTAGCAAATATGATATGCCTTTGATTTTGAGTCTGCTCTCTTTAACACCATTAGATAGAAAACTGTTCTGGGACCATAGAGAGCCCAGGGAAGCGAGTACTAGATGCTGTTTATATTGTTTTTGGGTGAATTTATTTCTTCAGACCAGCTGTAGAGCAGAGCCGTTTTCAACAGCATGCTGTGTGGCTTGCTTTGGGTGTTTCGCTCAGGATGATAGCTGTAGAAAATCTGTCATTTATTCAGTTTAAAACACCATTTCCCATAATCCCATAAGTGCTTACAGGCTAAACGTTGCAGTATACTGGCAAGTTGAGCGTCTCTGGTTAATGCAGACACATCTGTGATAACAACAGGACAGAGAGGACTGAATGCTGTAGAAGTTTTTAGAGTGCAGAGTTTACAACTAGCTGTAGTATTTATTTGTTTTAATTTTCAAGTAATCTGTATTTTGAAATCAAAACCGTTTCAGCAGCTACAGTGGAGCCAGTGTATCTGCAAATATAGAAAATAAACTTCAGGAACACGCTCAGCTGTTTCAGACAGACCGATGAAAGATAAGCTGAATGAGAGATTTCACCGAGTTATGCAAGCTAGACAGGAAGTGATGTTTGGCTCTCACTGTAGACTGATCATAGAAGGACTGAGAAGAGGAGGTATGTGAGAGGACACTATGGTCACCATGATGATTGGGATAATACTTTAATATACCGCAGATACCTGTTTCTTGCAGGTACAGTATCTGGTGGACCCATGAGGCTGTTACTCTAACAACATGGGAAACAGAATCCTCTCAGGTGGTATGGAGCCGCACAGAACATGTGATTTCTTACATAACGGACATTATGTGCTTTACCTGGTGAACAGCAGCGGCTCCATGACATCATGATCACATTAGACATGATGAGGGTCATGTTGTAGCAGTGAAAGGTCTCCTTTCTTCTGCTCTAATTAGTTTGGTTTAAGAGCTCGCTGGAATATGAAGCAAATGGTTGTCTCACAGGAAATGATTACGCCACCCCTCTATGTGTGTGTGTGTGTGTGTGTGTGTGTGTGTGTGTGTGTGTTGGAGAGACTGAAATAATAGATGGTGGAAAACAAAGCAGGAAGGTTTGATTACTGTGTATTTGTTTCTAAGGAACATACAAGCAGCTGTCATAACTCTGCAGCAGAGCCAGATGTATGTCAGGTGTTATTACCATGTTTTATCAAGCACAAATAATGCTTTTCAAAGTCTTTGTCATCATATTTATTTTTAGGCCTCCTAGCTGGCGTTAGCTGTGGCTGGAGGCATCATGTTTTTGGGTTGTTTGTTCATGCCATTCTTGCAAATGCGATATCTCACGAATGTCTTGATGGAATCTTATTAAACTTGGCACAAACCATCACTTAGACATAAGAATGAACTGATTAGAAGTTGGTGGTCAACGGTCAAGGTCACTGTGACCTTGGGTCCGTCTAATTTTGTGAAGTTGATGTCTCAAGAAGACCTTGAGGCAATTTCCTCAAATTTTGCACCAACATTCACCCGAACTCAAGAATGAACTGATTAGAATTTGGTGGTTGAAGTTCATGACCTCACAAGACATGCTTTTGGCCATAACTCAGGAATTCAAACACTAATTATTGTTTATTGTTTATTGTTTATTGGATCCCTATTAGTTGTCACCATGGTGACGACTATTCTTCCTGGGGTCCCTAAAAAGCAAGACAAATAACAGTTCCTATATATGTTCCCAAAATAGAGATCACAAATAAAAAAATAAAAAAAGCAATGAAATTATTCTCATAAAGAAACTAAGATCATAAAATAAAAAAAATACTTAGATGAACAGACAAATTTGAATATATGTGTACATAACGTGTGCATACACACACATACACCCATATACACCCAAATTCCTACAAGCACATATATATACATACATACATATGATGCACCATGCATACACACACACATAGTGCATGTATATACATACATAGTACAAGCACCTACATATACATACATACATACGTACGCACGTATACGCCCACATATACACAAATGCATATTCAGAGACCAGCTCATTAAGAGCTGTCTCTACAAGTTAAAACTAAAAACACAAAATAAGACACTCTGCAGCTTTACAGAAATCAATCAAACTGAATTTAACCTAATTTCTTTACTCAAAACAACTTTTTTCAATTCCCTTTTAAATCCTGATTTCATACCCTTGAGTATGAGATAGTACGGAAGTCCATTCCAGTATACAATAGCTCTGTATAATACAGTTCTTTTCAGTGCATTTGTTCTAGGTCGAGGTAGTCTAAAACGACAGCTTAAGGCCTGTCTGGTATTATAATCATGTGTGAACTTGGTAGGTACTAGTAGAGAAAACAGGCTACTGGGTTTACGTGAATTACAAATATTATTTAAATACAAAATAAGGCTGCATACTAATCTCTCCTCCACTTTCATACAGGAGAGTTTATCATGCATAGCATTTACATTATTCTTAATAGAACAGTGAAGTGACGTGAAGTGAAGTGAACACAACTTCACACAAATGTCTAATAGGATAAAATGATGAAGTGATGACATTATATATCCAAAAGGTCAAAGGTCAACATCACTGTGACATCATAATGTTCTGCAAAAACACTTTTCTGGCCATGATTCAGCTTCATATCTCAGGAACAGAAGGGGAGACATTTTGGTGTCCACCTTGAAACTGTGCTGATTGTAAAGATCCTATTTGCTGCTGGGGGAAGATGTGTGTGAAGCATCCATGTTTTCACGGACATGGAGGTAAACTGTAAGTGCAACTTGATGGGTTTTCAGAGGCATACAACCAGGAGGCGGTGATTCTAGTTCTAGCTTGTAGCTTTCATTGTGCAATTTGTGTTTGTCATTACAAAATAGGATGTACAGTGTTTTGTAACAACTGGGGGTTGGACAATACCAGATGTTGTTTGCATAAGTAAAACTTAAAATAGCTGCGTGTATCTTTGCAAGTCCTGGATTTGAAATTTACTCAAGTAAAAGTACAGAAATATCATCCACTGAAGTAAAAGTACTCATTATGCAGAATGGTAAAGATGGAGCTCCTTTCTTTTCAGCAGTGGAATGTAACAAAGTAAATTTACTCAAGTACTCAACTCAACTCAACTTTATTTATAGAGCACTTTAAAAACAACCACAGCTGAAACAAAGTGCTGTACAAAAATAAAAACATAAGACAAACAATAAAAACAATAAAACAGTAAAACAAGAGCAGAGTCTCATGCTGGGTTAAAAGCCAAGGAGTAAAAATGGGTTTTAAGACTGGTTTTAAAAATGGACAGTGAGGGGGTCAGTCTAATGTGGACAGGTAAATCATTCCACAATCTGGGAGCCGCCACAGAAAAGGCTCTATCCCCTCTGAGCTTCCGCTTAGACTTCGGTACATCCAGGAGCAGCTGATCAGCTGACCTGAGGCACCGAGTACTGCACTACAAATTTGAGGAACTTGTATTTACCTCAAATAGAAATACTTATATTTCTATTTTCTGCCACTTCTCACTATGTCATTACATTACGAAGGGAAATATTGTACTCTTTACTCCACTACATTTATTTTATAACTTTCATTACTTTGCAGAATCAGATTATTAATACAAAATATATTTAAAATATAATCAACCTACTACTACTATGCTACCTGGCAGCATAGTAAAAAACATTAAAAATTATATTGGTAACACTTTACTTGAAGGTGTCTACATAAGAGTGACATGACACTGTCATAACTATGACATGACACGGTCATGAACTTGTCATGAACATTATGTACATGTTATTAACGTTTATGACTGCTGTCATTAAGTGTCATTCACTTTTTGTAATGACAAGTTGACATTGTTGGGGTTGTCTTGATTATGACAACTTGACATTAATCAAAGTGACATTACCAGAAGTTGTCTTTGTCATGACAAGTTGACATTGTTTGAGTTGTCTTGATTATGACAACTTGACATTAATCAAAGTGACATTACCAGAAGTTGTCTTTGTCATAACAAGTTGACATTGTTTGGGTTGTCTTAAGTATGACAACTTGACATTAATCAAAGTGACATTACCAAAAGTTGTCTTTGTCATGACAAGTTGACATTAAATTTGTTTGGGATGTCCTTATAATGACAACTTGACATTAATCAAAGTGACATTACCAAAAGTTGTCTTTGTCATGACAAGTTGACATTAAATTTGTTTGGGATGTCCTTATAATGACAACTTGCCATTAACCAGGATGACATCACCAGAAGTTGTCTTTATGTTAATATCAAGTTGTCATAATAAGGACATCCCAAACAAATTTAATGTCAACTTGTCATTATAAGGACATCCCAAACAAATTTAATGTCAGCTTGTCATGACAAAGACAACTTTTGGTAATGTCACTTTGATTAATGTCAAGTTGTCATAATCAAGACAACCCAAACAATGTCAACTTGTCATTACAAAAACCGAATGACACTTAATGACAGCAGTCATAAGCGTTTATGACATGTACGTAATGTTCATGACAGGTTCATGACCGTGTCATGTCATAGTTATGACAGTGTCATGTCACTCTTATGTAGACACCTTCAAGTACAGCGTAACCATTATATTCAATATACATTATTTTGAAACGAGCCATTCTTCATGAGTATGTTTAGTTTTTATATTTAGGTAGTAATATCACAGTGTAGAGATACTCTTTAACAAGACCTGCATTCAGAAGTTACTTTAGTTAAAGATATGAGTACTTCCTCCACCCCTGTTAAAATCCCTTGCAGATATATCAGGAGTTGCCACATGCTTAGATAACATTACTTTGTTTCAAGTGGCGTAGACAGCAGCTGAGTCCTCCTCAAAAACAACTCATGTACAAACCTGATTTAATAAGCTTGACCCTATATCGTGCATCTATCTCTCTGCAGGTACGGGAACCAATGCCTGCTACATGGAGGAGATGAAGAACGTGAAGCGTGCTGAGGGCGAGGATGGGAGGATGTGCATCAACACAGAGTGGGGTGGCTTCGGGGACGATGGCTCCCTGAAAGACATCCTGACAGAGTTTGACCTGGTGGTGGACGAGACATCCATCAACCCCGGCGTCCACACGTACGTACGACAGGTCATTAGGAAATGTTTTCAGTGTGGAAATGATTGATCCAAATCAAATTTACAGATTGTTTTAAAGGGCCAGTGTGTAATATTTGGCATGGTTTATTGTCAAATCTGAATCTGAATCTGAATATTCTACCCATTAATATGTTTATATAAGTGTATAATCGCTATAAAATAAAATTCATTTGGTTTTCGTAGCCTTATAATTATGCTTTTATATATATATATAGCAAGGGCCTTGCTTTAGAGAATTCGCCATCTTGCGCCGCCATGTATGTACAGCAGACCGAGCGGACAATCCAGCCAGCCAGAGAATGCGTTTCGCGTGTATAAATGAACCATACCGTATAAATGAAGACGCAACTTCAGTCCTTGTGATGCACTCTCTGCGGCGCTTTTCCTCCTGATGATATATCTCCCCAACGATGGTAGCAGAAGCACCGAATCCCATTCTGTGCATTCAGCCTCTCTTCTCGCCCGCTCAGTGTACTCCGGCTCTCATCTGTGTGCTCCGGCTCAAACAGGTATGGCTCTGGGTCTGTGTCCGCTACAAGAAACTCTTCAAAATCGCGTTCAAAGTCGTCCATTGAAGCTACTATAGTCCGGAGATATTGCTAGGCTAAATAAACAGCTGAGCTGTGTTTACCGGCTACGCTGTCAGTCAGTGTGCGGGCTGGAGATTGGTGGAGCAGAGAGGGGAGGGGGGTGCCCACTAGGTATCGTAAACGAGTATGTGTGTATGGAGTGTGTGTGTTACGCTAGAAGAGTCAGAGTTTGGGACGGAGTCTTTTACCCCCTGGAGTGTTACTGGAGTTTTTGGAGCGCTCAAATAAACTGGCCTTTTTCCCGAACGCTCCTCTGGTCTCCTGCTCGTGAGTGATTCATTACAATATGGTAACATGGTTTAGATTTCTAAATAAACATTCACCTTGTCGCTAGATAGACCTACTCCTGAAAAACTCATGTCTGCGCAAGGCTTTTTGTCCCTACGAGGCCACCATCATTTACCCGACGGGAGGGGTGAGCGAGTGAGCCCTGCAATCTAGAATTTGACCACTGATGTCACTGTTTTCAACGATTTTCATCCCATTTTACACACTGGCCCTTTAATAATATATTGACTATAATTTGTCAAAGCTTTTCCCCAAATATTTTCTGCTTCCAGCTGCTCACATGTGAGGATGAGCTGCGTTTCTCAGGGTTTTTTAAGTGTTGGCTTTACAAAAGAAAACAAACCACAACATCTTACAGACTAAACAATCAAGTAACAAAAAAAAAAGATTAGTCAATTGTGAAAATAATTGTTAGTGAGAGCTGATCGGTTGGTTTTTGAAACATGACAAATGTTGCAAAAGACGCACATCCCCGTGTCTGCTGGAGTGGGTGCTGGACCAAAGAAACAGCTGGCAAAGTAGAAAACAAACAAGTCTGCACACCAGGCAGCTCCTGTTAGAAATATTTTAATGCTGAGTGATGTTTCGAGCCTTCAGCTCTTCCTCAGACTTCAAACATGTCTAGTTTCAAACATGACACATTTTAGTGATTATTCATTGTGACTTAAAAATGGTATTGCTAATGCTTATTAATTCCATTTTTTCCTGATGTATATCTCCCAGATTCTGTGTTCCCACAGTCAGGGTCGTCAAGGTCGAGTCCCACTGAAACTAACAGCTAAACAACGTGTTTGTGCTGTTTTTAAAATCAGATTGTATTTCCCTTTGTTTTCTCCTGTAGCTTTGAGAAGATGATCAGCGGCATGTATATGGGAGAAATCATTCGGCTGCTGCTGGTGAGGCTGACGGAGGAGAAGGTGCTGTTTAAGGGACAGACGTCGGAGGCGCTGCTGACTCCTGAAGCATTTGAGACAAAGTTCATGTCTGAGATTGAGGAGTAAGTGTCTGAAAGATCTTATTGATTTGTCTGTTGTTTCAATACTGAACTCTGGAGCCGTAAACTCTCTGATCTGACCCTGAAATGTGATCCAATCTGTATTTCTTTAAATAGGAAACTCATTATTATAAACTTTTATCATTTATATTGGTTCTTGTAACATTATTGGGCACTCATTTTTATAAATTATATCATAAATTATAAAAAAGAGGACAAGGCCTTTCTTTACCTAACTTGAGGACAGAACTACGCCTTTATTTGAGACAGGCTTTTGTACAGTGGACAGCAAACTTGATCACCAACATATGTTTGTCTTCACTTCCTGTCTGTGTCTCTGTTTCAGCCAGGACAGCGGTCTGGAAAACACCCAGAATATTCTGACCAAGATGGGTTTGAAATTTGATTCCGTCGACTCCCGTGTGGTACGTCTGATCTGCGACACCATCTCCACGCGCTCCGCTGCACTCTGCGCCGCTGCCCTGGCAACCCTTGCCACCCGTATCCGTGTCAACCGCGGGTTGGACCACCTGAAGACCACCGTGGGAGTGGATGGGACGGTCTACAGAAAACATCCCACGTAAGAGAATAAACAATATACAGATGCCATGAGAAGGATGATGAGGGTTCTGTGTTCGAACCCCGGGGTGGGGGAGCCCCTCTGTGAGGAGTCTCTCCCCGTGTCAGTGTGGGTTTTCTCCAGGTACTCCGGCTTCTTCCCACAATTCAAAGACATGCAGGTTATCGCCTCTTGCCCATTGTCAGTTTGGATAGTCTCCAGCCCCCCGTGCTACCTCCAACAGGATAAGTGGGTACAGAAAATGAATGAACTGTACTTTATCTCCCACAATTTATCATTTATAATAATAACAAACTTTATTTTTGCAGTACTTTTCAAAGGAAAGCTACAAAGTGCTTTAAATGGTTACAAAAGTGACAAAACATTTCAGGACTGCAATGAGTCAAATAAAATGAGACAATTAAAAATAATACAAAAATAAAGTGGATTAAAATACAATGGTCCTTCTTTAATCGTATATAAACCTACAAGAGTGCACCCAAAAATGAAAATTCAGCCATTATCTACTCACCCATATGCCGAGGGAGGCTCAGGTGAAGTTTCAGAGTCCTCACATCACTTGCAGAGATCCAAGGGGAGAGGAGGTAGCAACACAACTCCACCTAATGGAGGCTGACGGCGCCCCAGATTCAAACGTCCAAAAACACATAATTGAAACCACAAAATATCTCCATACTGCTCGTCCATAGTGATCCAAGTGTCCTGAAGCCCCGACATAAAAAGTTGTTTGGAAAAACCTCATTTGAACTCTGTTTTTAGCCTCATTGTAGCCTGCAGCTCTGACTGCCTCTCTGTGCACCGCGCTCATGTGTGCGCTTGCGCAAGACCGTGAGACATGGGCACCGCCTTCATGTGTGTTCACGTGCTTTTGCTGGTCTCACGCACAAGCACGCACACGTGAATGCGGTGCACAGAGAGGCAGTCAGAGCTACAGGCTACAATGAGGCTATAAACAGAGTTCAAATGATGTTTTTCCAAACAACTTTTAATGTCAGGGCTTCAGGACACTTGGATCACTACGGACGAGCAGTATGGAGATATTTTGTGGTTTCAATAATGTGTTTTTGGATGTTTCAATCTGGGGCGCCGTCAGCCTCCATTAGGTGGAGTTGTGCTGCTACCTCCTCTCCCCTTGGATCTCTGCAAGTGATGTGAGGACTCTAAAACTTCACCTGAGCCTCCCTCAGCATATGGGTGAGTAGATAATGGCTGAATTTTCATTTTTGGGTGCACTATCCCTTTAAATTCAATTTTATAACTATTAGGCCTTAAATCATTAAACAGTCTTTAATTTGAATGTGTGAGGTTTTAATTGCCACAAACATTTTATCAGATTTAATTTGTTCATCTTTTAATTTATTTTTGTCAAAATGAGTCATGTGAAAGTCCACATTTCTAATGTTAAAACCTACCACTGAACCTAATACTGTCTTTAATCTGTGTACTTGCACTTACCTGGCAAAATGTAGATTAATTCAACTCACTCTAATAACTGTATTTCTACCTAGAACCTTCCTCTGCATGGGACCACACAGTATATACTACTTACCTTAAGGTTAAAAAAGAAAAAGATGATTTGTACAAAATCAGTTAAAAATGATCTTAAAAACTGTCTTATAAAGTATTAAATTTAAGTAACCATTACCTGTAGACATCTTGGTTAGCGGGTGTTCTAGACCATTTAATAAATGTTTATATACAACTGAGGGGGTTTAAAATTAGGTGTTACCAGTTTAAGATGAACGAACATTAAGATATCTAAACTCTGGTATGCTATTAATTTAGAAGTTAGATTAGATAAAGAGGTGGAGGGGAGTAGTTTTCCAGTATGTGGTTTTGTTTTGACTTTTGGTGATACAGAACTCTCTCTGTTGGTGCGTTCATGGACCCTCCATCTCCTGATGAACAGCTGACCAGCATTATTTAACACAATAAATCACATTTTTACAGAAGAATGACACCGGGTCTTGTTGAGAAACTCTCCTGTAACTTAAAAATTAAGATACATAAACTAAAGCAGGGATGTTCACACATTTATGAGTAAAACAAGCTAATTTTTTACTTTGTGGATTTCTACAGCGTCATCGAGTCACTGGTGAGAGAAAAACAGCAGCGATGCAAATAAACCAAAAGGAGGAAGTCCGGGTTGTTTTTTCCTCTTTTTTTCTTTCTTTCTCAGTTTTATAGAGACATGAAATCATATGTATGTGTGTGTGTGTGTGTGTGTGTGTGTGTGTGTGTTTGTGTATGAACAGATAGGAGGTGGTGCTCAGTGTTGACACATTAACACACTTCCTGTCTTTGTGAGAAGAACAGCACCCTAAAGGAAAATACCATGAATTACTATTTAAAGTCACTTCTCTATCCTTCAGTATTATTTCCTTTCATGTCTTTAATGACACATTTCTGCAACTTATGTTGCATTTAAATCATTTTCTCATGATGACAGTGTGCGATGTATTCTATTGTCAAATATTTATTTTTCCTTCTGTCTCTTTCTTTTTTTTGTCCTCACTGAATATTCTCTCTTGTCTCTCCTCCCTGCTCTCCTCCTGTAGTTTCAGTGATAAGCTCCAGGCGACGGTGCGCCTCCTCGCCCCCGAGTGTGACATCACCTTCCTCGTCTCGGAGGATGGCAGTGGGAAGGGCGCTGCCATGGTAACAGCTGTGGCGCAGCGGCTGGCTCTCCAGTCCCGACTATTAGAGGACAGTGATGGTGACGATGAAGAGGATGAGGAGGAAGACTAATGAAGAGTAGAGAGGATGCAGATGAAGCAAGACTTTTTCTGTTTTTAAAGTCTGCAGTTTTCTCATCCAGCCAAATTTTTTTAATATAATAAGAATATATATTTCAGTTTTTCTGCTATGCAACTCAGCAGTAAGTCAAACTTCACTGACCTTTTTCATTTTCTTTTACCAACTCTGTCATATTTTTGAATCATTAAAGGTTCCCTGTGGAGTTTAGACCTGTTGTAGCGCCACAGAGCTGTTTTTCCTTGAGTGCCATTAAAGGCAGAGAAGAAGAAAACTGAAGCCCTGAAACATGCATTCAGACAATGCAGGATTTAAAATACCTGGAAATGTTTTATGAGGACAGAAATACGTTCAATATGTTTGTTAGACCCAAGCAGCAAACTCTGGGGCTGGAAGATGAAGTTAACACAGAAGTGCCAAAAACTGCAGTTATGTGAATGGCCACTTGAGGCTGGCTCTAAAAACGCGTCACCAGGTTCTTCACGTACGGCAAAGAGCCTGGTTTCCATTCACTCTGAATTTTGTCTGGATTCTGGTTCTGGTCTAGAAAGCGGATCCGGAATTCACCATATTCACCAAAGTAAAACTTTAAATTCTGGCGCACCATCGATTTCCGTCTCCAGTTTAGTACCATATTGTTGTTGTTGTGGTTGATAGAGCATGCTACATGGCGAGCATCACACAGTTTTCCTCTCTCTTCCGCCCCCACTGCCCCAAACTTTATTGAAAAAATGCATCTACAAACTACAGGTATAATGAACAAAACTAGGATCAAGTGCCTATTAAATAAAACAGACAACTGAAATAGACAATAACTTGTAATACAATTAAATACAATAAAAGAAAAAGGTTAACTTAATGGCTTGGGGCTTTTCTTGTAAATTATATTATTTAAATTAAAAAGTTTCACCGCATTTTTATTAGCTTGGTGCTTTTATTTTGATGGAAAGGGGCATCCATTGAATTCCACATCCTGTCTCTCTCGCCCTGGTTCTGGTCCCTTACCAAAACGGCCACTAAACGGCCCCAGACTAATCCCGATAGCCCCCCCATCTTAAAGTGCCCAGCTTTACAGCTGAAATAAACATGTTTACAGCCTGGTACAAAAACAGTTTGGACTCTATAGCTAATTTACTCTTCATGACAACTGTACAGGGGGTGAATTTTTATATAACAGACCCATTTACATTTTATCAAGGCTTAAAGTTTCACATAATTAAGGGCGGGCCGCTTTGACTGACAGGCTGTCCGCCAATAGTATCTTCAACTTCTCAGTCAGATCCACCCCTCGTTCTTCACGGTGCTAGCCTCTCGTCCAAATATTGTCACCTCTGTCTCCAAAAGTCCAAGATGGCGATGTCCAAAGCGCTAAACTTGAGGCTTCAAAACGAGAGTCCACAAACCAATGGGCGACGTCACGGGAACTACATCCATTATCTTTTCAGTCTATGGTTAGATCTCAAGGTTTCAGAGTGTGTTTTGGTGACAATTACTGACTGTAAACATGACATTTATTTGTTTACAGGAAAACTCCACAGGGCACCTTTGAGCCAATTAAAAAGACATGCTCGTTCAAAGTGTTTGATTGACAGGTGATTTCGGGGAAATGCAGCGTGGACTTAATTTCAAACAATAATGATAATAACATGATTTTCCATTATTCATATTTACCATTTCTCATTGAGGGTGACAAATGCAGATTTCTTTTTTTTTGGATCTAACACTCAGTGTTCAGTTGAAATTTTGTCACCTGTTTACTCGACTCAGTTTTTCTTTTGATCATGTGGTTGAGTCTAGGCCCCAGACAGATTGAAAATGCTAAAGAAAAATAAATATGCACTGAAGCAGATTAAAACAAAGTTGATATACTTTTGGAAAGCAGAAATTTTTATCATGCAAATTTAAACTCGAAGTTCGTTGTCATCTGTTTTGTTATGACACACAGAAAATCAGATTTAATGAGCAGCTGTGATGACAGAGACAGTAGATGGCATTAAAAACAGAAAATATGTATATAAGCAAATTATATTTACAGAATTATAGATTTGTGGGTAACTGGAAACTTAATATTGTTTTTTGTGTTTGCACTCTTTGATGAATATGCACCTTTTGAAAGAAAGAAAGATTATTTTAAACGGGCCAATCAGAGCAGGGACGTATTGTTACTCAAAGGCAGCAGCGACCAATCGTCTTCTATTTTGAAGGAAGAGGAAGCAGCTTTTTCTGTCAGCTGTAACTGCACAGTGCAGTCGAGTTTTAAGTGCTTTTATGTGCATTAAGTGGTTTTGTTTTCTCAGCTGCAGTGAAGTTCTGGAACTTGCTGGTGCTCCATTCACCGTCCTGCTGCAGTGAGAACAGGGAAACTTTTTGTGCAGCAAAACTCACATCATTGCCTGAGGTGCTGATGCAACACTGCAGCTTTAATTTCATTTTGTTGCTACAAGTTTGACCGTTACAGTTATCCTAAAAATCTACTTGTTGTAAAACAAAGATAAGAAAGAGTCAGACAGAGGTGGACAATATCAGAGGAAGATGAGGGGAGTGGTGAGATCATGAATTTTATTACTTGAACCTGCTAACCAGAGTTATGTTTTGGTCTTCTTTAAAAATTGTTTTTCTTTAGGTGCTAAAAATCTCACTGCTGTTTGTTTCAAATGGGAAATAAAAGGACATTTTTCTATGAAAAATGTATTCTGTGCGGTGTGAGTTATTTGTCTGTAGTGAACCGAATGCATGGACATGAACATCAGTGTTGTAAAAGTTCTATTATGAGAGATTAGACAATGTTGAATCAACCATAAAACAGTCAAAGAAAAAAGAAAAAAAAATCATTTTAATTTGTAAAAAAATGAATAAAGAAAGAAAGAAACCACCAAGAAGTAAAAAATTATGCATTTATACCAAAACTATGCGAACAATTCTTGGGGTTTTACATGATTTTGCATCAGTGCAATAAAGTACTTTGATTTGTTAGGTATTAAATTCACTGGAATAACAATTTCTTAATTTATTTTCCAGAAAATATATTTAGAAATATTATATTCTGCCTGCCACACATTAGAAGATGTGACTTTGCCTTCATTCATATTACATTTTAAATCAGTTAATCAAATAAGTTATGAAAATTGTTCACTGTGTGTCCCATAATAACTGTAAATAAAAATGCCATGTTAACATCTGTAATGTAACCCTATGTCTCATCTTGTGTCTTTTTAGAACAACATTAGGTCTAACTGTAAATAAATATATAGATGAAATTAATTTAACCCAAAATACGTAACATGCAGTACCTGTGAAGTGTCTGCATGTTTTTTTAGGCTGCATACATTCCCAATAACCTCCATTCTCCACACAGATGGAGATTAACGTTCAAAGAGACTTTCGTATGAAAATCAACCTGAAACAATAAAACAGAGCAGGACAAAGGTTTAGTCTATTCTGCAGCTCTGAAAGGAATACTTCACCCACAAAATTATCATTTGCATATTAATTACTCACTCCGTGTTGCGTCGAATTTGTGGGGTAAAAAGAAGTTTCTCCTCACATGCCTCCATGTTGAATGAAGAATCCAAAAAAGGGGAAAATACTTGATGAATTAAAGTAAAGGGGACGTTTAACAACAGCACAATGATATCACAACATCCATTCAACCCTCACACAATCCATGCAGTAGAATCCATGTCATTTATCCAGTCGTATGCTCAGTACTTCCCAAACACAAGCATTTTTGCTAAAATCTTATTATTTAAAACACTTTCTCTTGCACAGACAAGTAGCACACCTACGCAAGTGTATGCATTTGAACCCTGCTCAATGAAATACACCAGCAGAGTTCAAACACATACGCTTGGCTCATATATGGAAGTGACTGACTTGTAAATTGACGTTTTGACATAATTTTGCTGGCCCCCTTTTACTCCAATTTTCCAAGAACCAGTTTTTGGATTTTTCCTTCAGCCAGGAAGCATGCAAGAAAAGCAAAGATTTCTTCACATACTCAACTTAACACTTTGTGAATAATTTATACACAGATGATCAGTGTGTGGGTGAAGTATTCCTTTAAGTCATAATGCTTTAAGTTGTTATCAGTACAGTCATGTTTAATTTGCTTTTAAAAGCATGATTTGTTGAGAGAATAAAATAATTTTCCTATAAACTGTTAGTAGTCATTATTGATTTTTGGAGCTGCCTCCTGGTGGCAGTTAGTGGAACTGCGGCTGAATCCACATTAATGTCATATTCAGACTTCAGTCTGGTTGCTGATTTGAAACAGTGGCCATCAACCTTTCTTATTAAACTTTAACATTTCCCAAATATCAAAGATGCATCACAGTGTTTCCTAACCTGGCTATTAGTATTAGCACTTCATTTTATTCCTGGGTGAGAATATACTCAGGACGCCTCACTGCAGTATGCCTCCTTTCATCAGCAGTGAAGCCTCCTCTGTCGTGTTGCTGCAGCTCTCACTGACATGCAGAGGACAAAGTGGAGCTGCAGCGTGATGTGTTGCTGCAGCCTGCTCCTGCCACACGGGTGGTGATTTGGGTATGAAAGTCACTCCAGCTGCTAGTCTCCGTGCTGCAGCACTACAAAGCTGTAGCATTTAGATATTCATGCACACAAACCATTTAATGGAGAAGAAGAAATTCTGAAAGTACTGACTATACTTGTACTCCACTACATCTCAGAGGTCAATGTTGTACTTTTTACTGCACTACTGTCTGACAGCTTTAGTTACTTTACACATTACAGTTATTGACACCATTCCTGTCCAGTGAAAACGATGTATCTCCAGATACAGATTTCGAATGTTTGTGCCTAACACCATAATTATGCTACTGACTTATCAAGGTCTGCAAAAATTATTGCATGTCAATATATTGTATGATATTGCTCTTGTGTTTACAGTACATACATGTTTGTTTACAAAAGAATGTCTCTAACATTTTAGCTAACTTGATGCCAGAATAAACCGCAGGGTTTTCCGACCATTGCAACACTTGGGTGCAGCACCTAAGCATTTTTTTTTCATAGCGCCTAAGCCAAATAAGCACCAAAAAACAAAACCAACAAACAAAAAACAACTGCTGTGACACATTTTGCTGTAATTTCTGTTTTTTTATGTTTGTTTTCTATTATATAGTACGGATATTTTGATAATTATTTCACATTTTAATTCCAGTGTCTGAATATTCATAAGAATTAAAAACACATTGATCCCTGACAGGATGTGCCTGCATTATTATGCTATTATATCATCACTATGTCAGTGGCATTAAATGGTCTTAAATGACTATGATGTTGTTTATCACAGTCATTTCCGGGAGCATTAGATTGTCCACCAAGAGTAGTTATCGGGATAAGCCTAAACTACATAAATAAAGTGTTCCCTTATGTGTAGACAAAGTTCTCCTCCTTCTTAATCTAATTAAACTCTTCGTCACAAAACTGGAAACAGAGCTGTTTTTTTGACACCATGAATAGCTGACATTTCAGAGCTGTGGTTCTCACAGGACAGCAGCACAACAAAAATGTGATGATCTTACAGAATATGATGCATTGCTGTAATTTAAACCACCAACAGTATAAGAATGAGTTAAAATGAGCTCAACC